GATGGAAACCCGTCACCTGATACCTGGATACACGACGTGGTGTATCCAAGTGGAAGCTTGCAGCCATCAAAAGGAAGGAAGCACCATTTCGCACCACGACAGGGATGAACCTCGAAAACGTCATGCTAAATGAAAGAAGCAGTCACATGCGGTCCAGTGCTCTGTGATTCCGTTCCTATGAAAGTCCAGAATAGGGAAATCTACAAAGACAGAAAGTGGTGGCTACTCAGGGCCGGGAGGGGAGGTGACGGTTAAAGATTTGGGGTTTCTTTCCAGGGTGAGGAAAATGTCCTAAAATGGGCTGCACAGATCTATGAATACACTAAAACCCATCGATGATACACTTTAAGTGAGTGAATGGAATGGCATGTGAGTTCTATCTCAATAAACCGGTTTTTCAAGATGAGGGGTGGGGGGTGGGGAGCCGAGCTACTGAGAGTTGATTCAAAAGGCTGGTTCCTTTCAGGTAAAACAATCATTAAAAAAAACCAACTGTGCAAAGCGTGCCTTCTCTGCCTGCAACCAGGAGGCGAAGAAAGAGCTCCCTTCCCAGATCCATTTCATACAATCAAAGGGCTGCCGGGGACCTGAGAGGGGAGTGGGGCATTGCCCCTCATGGGCCTGTCGTGGGCCTGTGGTAGGGGCGCTCAGAGGATCACAGGGGCCCTGGGATGAGGATGGGGCAGTGATGAGCCCCCAGGGGCATGAGCTCTCTCTTCTTCACTGCAGAAACTGCCAGGCTCCAATGACTATGGTGTTCTCACTACTCAGAGTTCATCTTGCCTTGGCAATTTCCCCCTCCTAAGCAGGCCCTCTCTCATTCCAGTGAAATCTGATCTTCTCACTCTAACCCCCCCCTCCCCACCGGCCTGCAGGATAAAGTCCAAGCTCCCCAGCCTGTTCCTCCTGCAGCTCCCCACACTCCAAGGCTTCCCCAGGCGCAGCCACCAGGCAGCACGATCTGCCTCATGAGCCCTCCCTGTGTCCCATTCCCAGCTGCCCCCTGGAGCCATGTGCTCCTTTCTCTGACCCACCAGGATGCCCTGCACGAAGCAAGCACCACAAAGCCAGCACCACAAAGCTCCTTCACTGCACAAATACACAGGCACAATTCCTACCCGGTGAGCTCGGAGCAGATGCAATCCCCGCCCCTGCAGCTAATAATCCCCAGAGGGACAGACAGTAGGGACTGATAAAGCATGATGTGCTTCCAAAGTGAGGGAAGGAAAACCATAAAACTATGAGGGCCTGGGATGGCGGATATGTCCTTGGTGAGATAATCAGGGAGGTATCCCTAAGGAAGGGGCACCTGAGCTGAGAGCTGGGAGCGAAGAAGGAATTTCAAGCACAAGAACAGCTTGTGCAAAGGCACTGAGGTGGCCAAGAGCTCAGAGCTTGAGGGGCAGGTGGGACAAGATGAAGATGCGGAGAGAGGCAACGGCCAGATCACACAGGCCTCGTGGGCCTTGTTAAAAACTGAAGTCTTTGTTACGGCTGCAAAGAGACGGTACATGGTTAGACACCAGGACGTGATCAGATCTGGCTTTGCCCTAACTCATCACTCTGGCAGCTGTGAGGACAGCTCCTGGGTTCCTGCTCAGCCTCCCCGCGGGGCTCGGCCTCGCGTGGAAGGCGCTCGGCAAACAGCGTGTCGCACAAAGAACAGCTCCGGTATTCAGACTAGGGGTTCCGGGACTATCTGTGGAACACTTCACAATCTCCCAGCCTAATCAAGACAGGAGAAGAGAAGAGGTGTCAGTTTAAACTCAAACCTCGTTTTTCCAAGCTCATTCAGGGAAAGGCCCAGGATGATCCTCCTAGAAAGCTCCACATGCCCCACAGAACACAATCACTGTAACCCTTCTGGGCAATTCTGGGGCTGGAAGGGGCAGCAGAAGGTCTGCCCCCAGCCCCTGTCCCGCCAGGTTGCCCTGGATGCCACAGTGAGAAGAAGGTTCTCCAAGCATCCCTGAGGAAATAGCTTCAGAGGCCAGGGCTCCCCTGAGCATGGGGACAAGGACCCTCCCACCACCGCAGCCCCACTTGCCAAAATGGGCAGGGCCCTCAAGGTCTGTGCACTGATACATGAATCTCGGGCAGAGAGACAGCAGCACCAGGCTGCTGGCTCCACATGAACCCTGGTGCAGAAAAACAACTGAATCATCCTGATAATTCTCCAAGCAAAGCTCTCTTGGGGCCAATATTAAAAAAAAAAAAAAAAAAAAAAAAAAAAGACTTAAGTAGTAGTTTCTATGGCAACCAGCTTTAGTGATCCGCAGTGAACCCCAGGCCCACACCCTCCAACCTGTCCTCAAAGGCAGCCAGGAAAAAAGCATAACCTCTCAGCTCTGAGAATGCCTTTCTATCCCAGGCTAAAGGCCTCATGGCAGCATCCCGGGAGCAGAATGCTATAGTGCTGGGCAGAACACCTCAGACCCTCCTCTTCCTCGACTCACTTCTCCTGCCCTCAAGTATTGCATCTGGAGAAGGCCCTTCAAGACAAGCCCCTTCTGGGGCAAACCATTACACTCTGTTTTCTTATTCACAACAAACTGCAGAAAGGCCAGCTTTGCAAACCCAAGCCCTGGGTTCTGCTTCCCCGCTACTGACCCTATGGCCCTTACCCACCCAAGCCAACAACATCTCCTTGTTAAAGTCCAGCATATATATTAAAACAAGAATCTGAAAACAAGGGACGTGACCAAGGTCAAGCGCCAGTTTATCGGGTCTGGCTCTGAATCCCATAGCAGAAGCGGGTGACCAGGTCAGCGCTGACAGTGACTTGATGGCAGGAGGGAGGCTGGAGTGTAGCTGACTGGGCCTCTCCCCTGGCCCTCACCCGGCGTCCCTTGGTCCTTCTCTTCACCAGCCCCTGCCTGTCCCCTCTCTTCCTGGGGCCTCTGGAAAGCCCAGCCTGTCACCCTTTTCCCTAAAGGATTGTTCTCTTCACAAAGGAGGAAACGTCCTGGCCTTATCAGATATCCGGCTTCATGCTCGAGCACAGAGCACAGGGAAAATTTATCCCCAAAATACCAAGGCTGGAAGGTTATACTGAGGTCACCTCAGTCATCTGAGGGCTGGCCGAGTGTGTGTGCCCTGGCTGGGACAGGCTCCAGGGAATCCAGTCAAGACTTCCCTGGGAAATGCACCCGGTGGCTGAAACCTCGAAGCCACACGTCCCCACATCCCACCCCCTCCCCCACCCCTGCGGAACTTTCTCTTCTACCAAGAATACAACACAGGGGACCCAGTTCTCCTTCATGGTTTAGCCATCCCCTGCCCGGGATTGTGGGCTGTGCATGTGTTTATGGGAAGTGAGGGATGGGGATCCCCCTATGGGAGGTTGGTCAGGGCACTGAGGCAGGCTGGGGGCTACACCCTTGATCTAGGAGGACAGCAGGAATGTAACAGTGGTGGTCGTACTCAAGTCTGAGAGGCAGAAGCAGCTCCTTTATGCACACGGACGTTTACTTCTCACAGCAACCTGTCCATCCTAAGGAGCAGGAACTAGCAGCATCCCCATTTTACAGAAGAGGAAACTAAGGCTCAGGGAAGTCACGTCATCAAAATGGCAGTTGACCTTCTACTAAGCACCTGCTGGGGCCCGAGCAGTGTCAGGTACTCCAGCCAACATCATACAAAGTTTTCCTGATCCTAAAACCATTGTATAGATAAGAACACAGAGTCTCAGCAAGGTCACGGAGGAGCCCGAATGCGCCTTTCCCACGGCCTCCAGCCCTATGAAAGCAAGAGGGACTTCAGGTGGTCGGCAAGGCAAAGGCCCTGATGGACACGACATGGGGGAAGCACCCCCTCCCCCCAGCATAGGGGCCACCGGCAGGCCACACCTGCTTCTGGGCTGCTTGCACACAGGATGTGGGGATCTGTGGCCAAGCTGGCCAAGGAGTGGGTGAGAGTCACAGGGAGGCAAGTAGGGCCCTGGACACATGGAGGAAAGAAAATGCTGTCAGCAGGAGGGCTACCGTGTGGTGAGGAGACTAAGGAGAGTCCCCTTTGTCCTGACAGAGAAAGACAGGACGTCACATCTCCAATTATCACACACTGACAAGTGCTCGCTCAAGCATCCCCTCCCGCTAGGAAGGCCCTCCATTCTGGCCGCATTTTCACTGATAATATGACTTTGTTTTTCGTAACCCTTGAGCTGCTTTCCAGAGGAATGAATCACGGTCTTGTCCACGACAGAGAAAACCCAGGGCAAGTCAGCGGGGGCAAAGGCAGCACCTCCCGAGGTGGCGGGTGGGTCATCACTGGGTCAAGATCTGGGAGGCTGTGGGAGGAAATGGGACCGGGAGGAGGGACCAGCCAAGAGGATCCAGTCCACGCTCAGAGACAGGCACGCAGGGGTCAAAGCAGTCGGCACAGCGAGGGAGCTTCCCACCAAGGCAGGACTCGGGGAGCTAGTAAGGCTATTGTTATTTTTTTAAAGTTTATTTATTTACTTATTTTGAGGGGGGGGGGGCAGAGAGACAGAGGGAGAGAGAAAACCCCAAACAGGCTCTGCACTGTCAGTTCAGAGCCTGATGCAAGGCTCAATCTCACAACTATGAGATCATGACCTGAGCAGAAACCAAGAATCAGATGCTTAACTGACTGAGCCACCCAGGCGCCCCAAGGGTGTTCTACTTCAAAGGCCCCTAGGATTCCCTTTCTCAAAGCCTGGCAAGAGGGTCCCACCCCTCATGCCAACTCAGAACCACTGACTGTGACTGTATGTGCTGAGGGTGTGGGGGTCACATCTGGACTCCACAGTGTCCTGATCTACACAGGTAGAGAGCAGAGGAGGTGCCAACCATGCCCTGGATGGACCCCATTTTACACCCAAAGAGACCGAGGCCCTGGCAGGGAAGCACCTGACCCCAGGCCATGTGCTGGGGCAGCAACAGAACCATTACCACGGACTACTCAGCAAGACAGCTGCTACGGCTTTAGAGATGCACAGAGCCCTTCTCAGGCCTTCCCTCCTCACCATCCTTGCTCACCTGGAACCTATGTACCAGCTCCAGGGACTGGCTGTCATTCTGGTCGGCTTCAAGGATGACATCCGTCAGCTTGTGGATGATGACGTCCAGGGGGCCTTGTTCCTCAATTGGCCGGCTAAGGTTCAGCTGCCAGGGGAGACAGAAGGACACCGAGAAAAAGAAGAACGTCAGCACCTGGGCCAACTGTCCCCACCGTACTCCCCACCCTTCTGCCCGTCCCTGACGCACTGGGGAAACACGGATGGGACAGCACACACCCACGAAGATCCCAGACTCCTACACAGCAGGGCCCGAGCCCCATGCTACCCCGCTTCTAGAAGACACACACATGAAATCGAGGCATCTACTGGTTAAGCAGGCATCACCACGAAATCGTTTTATAGAGAAAACGTATACTGAACATGTCCCATCTGGGTCAATGACCTGGATTTTTCAGGTAGGGAAACGAGGGCTCTGAAGCCACACAGCCGGGTCTAAACTGACATCTAAGGAGACACGCTTCCCACGAAACTACAGTCTCAGCAAAGCTGTGATCTTCACGAACCAAAGAGGCGCTGCTTTCACAGGCCGGCAGCTTGTACTTCACACAGAAATCAGGGCTCATCACAGACACGGTGAGGGAGTGCGGGGCTGCCTGGAGCCCGTGAGGCGCAGCTGGCCCCGCTCCGCTGGGGGCTGTGTTTATTTTTTCAAGAATGCGGGGTTAGGAAGATCACATCCCCAGGGAGCCAGAGCCGCCCAGCTGACAGACAGTCGGCATCACCTGACCCCAAGACAGGAGCACCTGCCAACAGCCAGAACGGCCTGACACCGAGCTTCCTGACCTGCCAGATGTCTGCTGCCCGGCACACGGCCACCACCACCTGCAAGGCCGGTCCCTCGGAGGCAGCGGCGCCAGCCCGGCACCTGGCTGACCCCCTGGATGGCCTCAGGAGAGGCCAGAGAAAGCCACCGGCCCCACCCCTACACCCATCCCCGCACAAGTGGGGCTCCCTCCAGGAGTCAAGGCTGACTGTTTCAAAGTTGCGAGTAGAGAAATCACAATGACGGCTGCACACGTTCACTCTGGGTGATAAAAACTACGTTTTCATGCTCCAACCATGGGGATAAGAGGTGACTTTACAAATGAGGAGAGTGGGGAATATGGACTTTGGAAACCTCACTAGGATCTGCCAGCGGGAAAGTGGTGGTGCTCACAGGCACATGCGAGGCTGGGCTTGTCACTCAGTGCCCCCGGCCCCATCCCTCACCCTCCGTGAGCCTTGGGAGGCTGTCCTCTAGTGCCACAACCACCTAGCGGCCCTGTCCTCTGGCCGAGTGGCCAACTGGAGGCACGTGAGAAGAAGGGAGAGGGAAAAGTCTGGCTGTCTGTTCCCACTGTCCTCACGTCCCCACCGTATTTCTGCCAATAGCCACCATCCCTGCCAAGCAGACAGTCCCTCCGCTGCCTCTGGGCCCCCGTACACCACCTTCCCTCCCCTTGTCCCCTCCGGCCTGGGGTGGTGACAGCTTGCCACTCTTGGGGTGCCTCACCACATCCTGCTGGCTGCTTTGACCCAGCCCACACCTGTCATCCTCTCTTATTTAAACTCTTATCTAATTAAACCTTCAGAAAGTACCAGCTCTTTCCTCATGGTATCCTTAACTCCTTGTTGTTGTTGTTGTTGTTGTTTTTAATATCTGCCAGAAAAGATGTTAAGAGACTTCTCCTATTAAAAAAAAAAAAAAAAAAAAAAAAA